GGGCAGATCTGATAGAAAGTGGCAAGGAGTTCCAAAGAAGGATAGCCTGGACAGTGAAGGATTGGGAAAAGAAGTTAGTAGAATGAGGAGGGGTTACCAAACAAAGACGTCTCGTACTGCGCAACTCTCGGTCTTGCGAATCGTTATGAAACACGTAGCTCTGTTTTAATTAATCAGGATTGGAAGGATTGAAAAGAATAGAATAAAGGAGGGACAGTATGTGCCAATTCCTGCGAAAACGGATAGGAAGCCACTTGAGTTTATTGCGAAACTGAGAAACATGGTCATATTTGCGGAGACCAAATATAAACCTTATACACATATTTTGATGTCGCTCAAGTTTGTTTAGCTATTCTTCAGTGAGATTAGTATAGCAAGAATCGGCATAATCTAGGATAGGAAGTAGTAATGTATGTGCTAGCGTAATCTTGGTATCCAATGGCAGGAAATTTCGCAGCCAATTGAGACCTCCAATTGACGCAAATATTTTTCTGCTCAACTGCGATAATTGATAACACCAAAACAGTGTTTCATCAAAATATATACCTAAGTTTTTAACGCAAACACTATATTCGATGTTATAGTTATTAAAGGTAACAGGAGGAAGATGTTATGATTTTAATTTGGAGATGTAAGAAGGGCTTCCAATTATGACACATTGCGTTTTTGCTGGATTAATTGCAAGGCCATAAGCTTTACTCCAGTCAAGTATACGAGACAGGTCCATATTAATGTCACGAATGGCGTCGGTTACATTATTTAAGTCAGTCAGTGAGTAAATTTGGAGATCATCTGCATAAAGGTGGTAGGATGAACGAAGATTAAGAGTGATTGAATTGATAAACAATGCGAAAAGAAGAGGAGATAATACGCCACCCTGAGGCACGCCAGCAGTTGTATAGCACCAGGACGAATACTTATCCTCTATACAGATTCGCTGCCGGCGCCCATACAGGTAAGTACGAAACCACTCAATTACCGTTGGAGATATGTTAAGAGAACGTAGTAAACCGAGCAAGACATCAAAGTCAATGGTGTTAAATGCATTACTGAAGTCCAGTAACGTTAACACCGTCAACTGCGACTTGTCCATGCCACGTCGAATGTCATCGGTGATTTTGATGAGAGCAGTAGTCGTGCTATGACCCGGACGGAAACCAGATTGGAGAGGGTTGAGAATGTTATTTTCTGAAAGGAATTCAAATAATTGACAGTGCACTAAGCGCTCTAAGACTTTAGACAGAAATGGGAGTATAGAAATAGGGCGATAGTCTGAGGAGGTTGAAGGAGTACTCTTTTTTGCTATAGGGATTATGTGAGCATCTTTCTACAAGGAAGGGAAGACACTAGAGGATATGGAGTTATTGAGTATGAAAGTAATAGTAGGAAGGATGAATTCAAGGATTGGGATGATCATTTTGCGACTAACGCTATCATTCCCTGTGGCATTCGATGTAATAGCTAATATATTTTTCTTAACATCACAATCGTAGAATTGATTGAAAGAAAATGTGGGAATTGGAATAGCAGAGAGAATGTTTAAAGTATTTACTTTGTCGTTGTAGTCAAAACCAACGGAAGAGCAGAAATGTTTATTGAGACTTTCGATGTCTATATTGTTATTACTAGAATTTTGATTTTTTCCAACTCCCAAAGATTTGAGAAATCTCCAGACCTTAGCAGGGTCTCCATTTTCTACGGAGGTGTAAAAGTGGCGACGTTGAGCATCCCTACACGCCTTATTGCAGATATTTCGAGCTCGAACATACGTGTCATGGAATTTGTCAGGATTGGCTCGAAACTTAGCCTTAGCCCTATATTTTCTCGCCTGAAGAACCTTTATATCTTCCGTAAGCCAAGGCGCAGGAAGGTGTTTGACCCGCACAAGACGAACAGGAGCATGACTATCGTACAATTTTAAAAGGAAAGAGTTAAAAAGGTGTAATTGTTCATCGACTGTGCTAAGTTCCGAAATCGCCAACCAGTCCAAAGAGGCAGCATCTACACGCAATTTCTCCATATCAATGGTACCAAAACTACGCCGCATTATAACTTTCCGTTTGTTTTTAGGAGGGCGGATTTTGTACGAGACATAGATTAGGTTATGGTAAGAAAAAGCGTCAGCAGGGCACTGACCATACCTGACAACATGTTCAAGAGAGGATACAAATAAAAGGTCTAACAGAGAAGGATTGGAGTTAGGGAAAAAATGAGTAGGCTGGAGAGGAAGAATATTGAGATTGCAGGATGTGGCAAGAGATCTGAGGCGTTGGGCGCGGTGATCATTTTTGACAGACACGTATTAAAATCACCCATGAGAATAGTGTGATTGTGAGAAGGAATAAGGTTTTCTAGAGTATTTTCAAGAAGAGCGAAATAGTCAATTGATGAATTGGGACTGTAAAAAACACCTAGAAGTATATTAGAATGGGATAGGTAAATTTCAATGAAAAGAAATTCTGGCTCATTAGAGGGTAGGAAATAGTAGACGTACTGACAATTTTATAGGGAATATGGGAACGTAGATAAATGGCAACTCCTCCACCACCTCCCACTGTTCGATCATTACGGATAAGAGTGAAACCAGGTAGTACATATAAACTAGATGGAAGACACGGTTTTTACATCAAAAGATGTAAGCAAATCCGGATAATGCGCTGGAATGCTTTGTGCGTTAATATGCAATACATTAAAATTTTTATTTGTGTTATCAAAATTTATATCTAGAATTTCGTTCAAAGGAATAATCTCATTGAATGTAGAATCATAACTAGAATTGGAGGAAGTTGCATTGGAACAAAGAGAGTTTCGTCTCGACATGTAAATAATATATATAAATATACAATAATTATATAAAATAGTATGTAAATATGCTAATGATTTAAAACTTAACTATAATTAATATCAAAGTCCCAAAACAACAACAAAATTATCTACCTGCTAGTAAATTGTAATAAATTTTACATAAAAAAAAGAAGAGAAATTAATGGAGTACAACAATATATCAAAACATTGACAAAAAAAAAAAAAAAGACGTTAACGGAACGTAAACATCGCAACTCTTGTACTGACATTTGACAGCTAAGTCAGGTGTCATTCATTAAATGAGTGACATTTAAAACAATAACAATAAAAAGAATTACTTTTTATGACAGAAATAAAACTAAAATTAATTGACATAACAGAAAACAAAAGTTAATATAAAACAAAATAAAAGTGGGTAAAAATATTAAAAATCTACATTAAAAGCTATATTTAGAAGTGCTGTGGTGATTACGCGCCTAAGCGGCATGGTTACGTCTAAATGGGAATATACACAAACACTGTTTACAATCACTTTTTAGCACGCTTTGAGCGAGAATTACCGGCGGCCGGTTGTTTACAGCTGGTGGCGACTGGTGAGGCTTGTGTAACCGACGGCGACGAATCGATCAGCTTATTAACCTCAGCAATACAGCTGACCCGATGCCTCGAACCATCGTCAGTAATAATGACAATAAAGCCATTATGTGTCCAGCATTTTTTTTACGCCAAAATGCTGTCTAGCCGACATAAATACGCTATGTCGAGACGCAGTTAGAAACTCCGACATTGTTATTCCACTACTCTTCAGTTTCGTCTTTGAATGCCACACCTCATTTCTTACATCCAAGTCATGGAATTTGACGATTATTGGCCGTGGTTTATCTTTTAATGACTGTCCTAGACGGCGACATCGGCGGATTTGGTCAGTAGAAAAGCCATCGACCTCGAGCCTGTCCGCAATCACCTTAGATACCACCTGAGGCACAGATTCTCTTTGAGACTCCGGAATACCATGCAGTAATAGAATCTTCTGGCGGGAGTGCATCTCTAAGTGATCCTGTTTTTGAGTCACTAACTCAACTTGTTGCTGTAGAGTAGTGAGTGCAGAGATAGTAAAGGACTGGAATGTTTTGAAGTTTGACTCCAGTGAAGAAATACTTGCGGGCTCTGACTTTGCCTTCTGCAAGTCGGTCTGGAACTCCATCATTTTTTTGTTAAAATGTTCCATCATCTGCGCCATGGTGTTGTGTAGTGACTCCATAGTTAGTAAAATATATTATTGTTTGGTGAATAAAGAAAGGAGAAAATAGTTCTACAGGTAAATAAACACTGAAGTTATAATTTCATACAATAATTATAGTAAAAATGTCAAAATTATATAATTAAATTAATTTTCATTGGAGAGGTGTTATTAATACTATTAACGACAGGCCTAGGCAACTCAATCTCAGGATGGGGGCTGCAATTACATCAACAACCACTGCAGGGGTTGTTATCACAGGATACGATCTATGAACTGGTTTAAAGGTAAGGAGATAGACATCACAACAGGGAGTACGGCTGTTATAAGGGGGACGGCCCCCACCCGTGCGGGGAGGTGATGTACGCGGTGCACTATGCAGAAGAGCATTGCGATAATTTGTATTATTACGATTCTGATGGTTAGGATAAACAGGATCTCGAGAATTGTTAAAACACAGTAAGGTGCTATCAAATGTTTATCTAAACAACGATAGCACAGGCCAGACGATTTAATAAAATAAGATCGGTCACGTGGGTTCATATCACGAAATTGGGGACATTTACGTAAATAATGGGAATTACTATTACACATATGGCACTTCTTATTGGAAACTGGTACCTGGGAAACGTAGGCCCTACGCGGGCGGTTAGATTGCTGGTTATGCGAGTATTCAGGTCTTCGTTCAAACGTACGCGATGCCCCGAGCCGGCCCTCGACCTCCTAGCCGTCAGGTGTACTGGTGGTCGGAGGAGATAGCGGCGTTGAGGGAGGAGTGCTCCGCCGCCCGCCTCAGGATCAGGTGGAGAGAAAGGCTGGCCAGTCCATCGGCCGGCCTGAGGACCGTCGAGGCTGTCCGTCCCATCCTCAAAAGGAGGATGAGTAGGCGATGGCCACTGACATACCACATGACGCAGATACTGTCCGGGCACGGATGCTTCGGGCGGCATCTGTGTCATGTGCCGAGGCGTACCAGTTTTGTAAGAGAACGTTTTAAGGAACCAGTAGAGGTTTTGACCTCGACCACTCGAATTACACCGTCTTGACCAGGAAATAACTGTACTATACGTCCGCGGCGCCACTCCAAAGGAGGGAGGTTGTCATCCTTTATCAAAACCAATTCATCAACATTAGGAGGATTCATAGGAGAAGTCCACTTATTACGAGTTTGAAGGGTTGATAGGTACTCTGAATGCCACCGCGACCAAAAATGTTGAGTAATCTGTTGCAATAAGTGAAAGCGTGAAATGCGATGCTGCTTCTCGTCTCTCAATGGGTACTCGGGTAACGCAGTAAGGGGTTGACCAATGAGAAAGTGACCAGGGGTTAACACTTCAAGATCATTGGGATCTTGAGATAAGGAACACAAAGACCGAGAGTTAAGTACAGACTCAATTTTTGCAAATACAGTGGTCAATTCCTCAAAGGTAAGGGGATTTTCACCGATTACTCGTTTAAGGTGCGTCTTGGCAGACTTAACGGCTACTTCAAACAATCCTCCCCAGTGAGAACAGGCCGGTGGGTCAAATACCCAATTTATATTCTTGCGGGCTAGTTGTGAAGCAAGATCATCATGCTTTTGGGACAGGAATGAATCAAGCTCTCTAATATAGTTACTCGCTCCTAAATAATTTCGTCCACAATCCGAACGTATAAAGGTAGGTAATCCGCGACGCGCAACAAATCGGATAAAGGTAGATAGGAAAGATTAAGGTCGGATACTACTTCCAAATGTACCGCTTTAGTTGACAGGCAAACAAATACACACAGATAACTCTTTACTATTTTCTTATTTCGATAGGATTGTACTTTAGTATAGAAAGGGCCCGCAAAGTCAGTGCCAACACGAGAAAATGGTCTAGCCGAAGTAACCCGGTCCCTGGGTAGATCACCCATAGGGGGTTGAGATACGGATGCTTTAAGGCGGTAACAAGAGAGACAATGAAATATTATGTTTTGAATAGCACGTCGGGCCGATAATATCCAGTATTCACGGGAAAGGATAGCATGTAAGGCATTAGGACCAGCATGAGAATTTTCGATATGATAATGGGAAATTATTAATTTTACAAGGGGGCCAGACTTAGGTAAAAGTAATGTGTGGTGACGAGCATCGTATTCCCATTCAGAATTACGTATACGTCCGCCAACTCTGACTAAACCGTTTTCATCTAGGAAACACGACAGCCGTTTTAAAGGGGATTTAATAACATTACCGCATATTAAGGATTCTATCTCGTTAGAAAATGCATGTAACTGGGTTGCTTTAATAAGCATCAACAAAGAATTCCGTCGTTCGTCAACAGAAAGGTAAGGATTAATAACACGTAAATTAACATATTTAACATTATAAATAAAACGCAGAATAAAGCCTAACACTCCGACTAGTTTATTTAAGGAACTATACCGGTAGAGGAGAAACGAGAGATCATAGCTAGCGTAGGTATTTCAATTAACAAACAGCGAAGGCCAGGTAAAGAATCAATAGGATTGTTTGTTAAGTCTGTACCAATAGGCCAATGATTAGGGGACTCTGTCAACCAGGAAGGAGACCACCATAGATCATGGTTAAGAAGAGACGATGCGCTAAGACCTCAGGAAGCGCAATCGCTAGGGTTAATAGAACCAGGAACATGATGCCACTCGGAAGGGAAATCGGATGAGGTGATTTGAGACACGCGGTTTGCTTCGAATTTTTGAAGCAGGTGAGGAGGAATCTTTATCCATGCCAGCACAATTTTGCTATCCGTCCAACTGTGGATAGCATCCAACACGATTACCTTCTGTAGATAGATGGTAACGTAATGAATTAATTTTGTGAGGAGCACAGCTCCTTGCAATTCCAGCTTGGGAATTGTGAGACGAGTACGGATAGGGGCAATCCTACTCTTAGAAATGAGGAGATGGACGGAGCAATGGCCAGAAGAGGATTCAGTCCTAAGGTAACCAGCAACAGGTCCAGACAACACACAACCAAAAACGGTTGAAAGGCCGGTCAGACCATGAGGAAGAGAAATCGATTTTTCAGGTTGCATAAGATAACCGAACACGTCGGCACCTAACAATACCTCAATAGGCCCTGGTTTATAAAAGGAGGGGTCCGCTACGGAAAGGTGATTAATACTATTAACAACAGGCCTAGGCAACTCAATCTCAGGATGAGGGCCTGCAATTACATCAACAACCACTGCAGGGGTTGTTATCACAGGATACGATCTATGAACTGGTTTAAAGGTAAGGGAAATAGAACCGCGGGAATATACAGATTGAATGTTGCCAATACCGCGAATAGGTACTGAGTTTGATGATAAGGGGACATTCAATCTCTCAACAGCTAAGTCGGTAGTAAGCAGACAACCTTGTGCGCCTGTATCACATAACGCACGGGCCTCTATAAAATAACCATAAGCCGATTTGACATGAATAATGGCGGTAGGTAGGAGGACTAGGGAATTGGAGGGAATATGTGGTGAGAAAGCAGGGGGGATACAGCGCCTAGTTATTGGGACGAGTTCCGTCTATGGTTGGTATGCATAGAACGGTCGGGGAGGTCACGTGACTTATGGTATGTTTTATCTCGGGAAGTGACCGCGGGGGGACATACGACGATAATCTTGTCGTGAGTATGTAGGAGGAGAAGCTCGACGTGCAGGTGATGACGAATCACAACAGGGAGTACGGCTGTTATAAGGGGGACGGCCCCCGCCCGTGCGGGGAGGTGATGTACGCGGTGCACCATGCACAACAGCATTGCGATAATTTGTATTATTTCGATTCTGATGGTTAGGATAAACAGGATCTCGAGAATTGTCAAAACACAGTAAGGTGTGATGGGAGGACCGAGCACAGACAGCACACCTGTAATCACGTGTGCAATTGGCTATCAAATGTTTATCTAAACATCGATAGCACATGCCAGACGATTTAATAAAATAAGATCGGTCACGTGGGTTCATATCACGAAATTGGGGACATTCACGTAAATAATGGGAATCACTATTACACATATGGCACTTCTTATTGGAAACTGGTACCTGGGAAACATAGGCCCTACGCGGGTGGTTAGATTGCTGGTTATGCGAGTATTTAGGTCTTCGTTCAAACGTACGGGAAGTTGGGGCAGAATCTACTAATGCTGAATCACCTACATTATCATGGTGGCGGCACTCATCCTCTAAAAAAGTGATGATCTGATCAAACTGGGGCAGTCGATCACTATCACCACCGTAACGCCGCTCAAAACGAGCCTTTAACTCCAGGGGCAACTTATTAAGGCATATGTGCACTAGCATATATGACCAACTAGTCACAGGTAGCTCTAAGCGTTCTAAACAACGATAAGCTGTTAACAATGGGTTGAGAAACGAAGCACATAATCCATTCAATTAAATAAATAGGTAAGGTAAGGATCTGTGTTATATATGTATCCGCCAGTATTCGCGTATTATGATATCTCCGCTTTAACAAATCACGAGCGATTGGGTAATTCTCTGCTTCAATATGTAAATGTAATAGGAGACGTTTAGGCTCACCTGACAATGCACCAACAAGGTACTGTAACTTATTAGTAGGGCTAAGGTCAGGCTGGGAATCGACAATACTATCAAATTGGTCGACGAAGCTCAAATAGGATCCGCTTTGGCCATTAAAGGTAGGAATAGGTAAGTCAGGTAGTTTATTTTTAATACACATTAGAGGGGAAGATATTAATGGAAGCCGCTTAGGAGTACTCGACTCTGTAGGGGGATCATGTAACAATTTAGGCTGCAACTCACTAAACCAAAGCCGCAACTCATCTACCATAGGCCGCATTGACTTAGATAAGGTTAGGGTTCCCGCCGCCTATACCTCGGCGTGGTGCGGTCCATGGCCCTGTACGGGGCCCCCATCTGGGTGGGGGCCCTAGGTAGGGAAAATGTGGCCTGCCTCAACAGGCCACACAGGGTCATGGCCATACGGGCCATAAGAGGCTACCGCACCATATCCGGGGAAGCGGCGGGTCTGCTGGCGGGGTCTCCTCCGTGGGACTTGGTAGCGGAGCTCCACGCGTCAGTGTACCACTGGCGCGCGGAGCGACGTTCCATGGGGAGGCACCCGCTGGTCATGAGATCGAAGCGCGGAGGTCCGACTTTCGGCGGATCCTCAGGATCGAATGGCGGGCAAGGCTAATGAGCCCGTCAGCCGGCCTGAGGACCGTCGAGGCTGTCCGTCCCATCCTCAAAAGGTGGATGAATAGGAGATGGCCACTGACGTACCGCATGACGCAGATACTGTCCGGGCACGGGTGCTTCGGGCGGTATCTGTGTCATGTGGCGAGGAAGGAGCCGACGACCGGCTGCCACGAGTGCGGAGGTGTGGAGGACACGGCGCAACACACGCTGGACGAATGTCCAGCGTTCGAGAGTGAGCGCCGTGTCCTCACACGAATAGTGGGGGACGATCTCTCGCTGCCGAATTTAGTTCGGAGGATGATCAGTAGCGAGAGATCGTGGCTGGCGGTGAGCTCCTTCTACGAGGAAGTTATCTCGCGGAAGGAGGCGGCGGAAAGGGAGCGGGAGTCAGCTCGTCCCGCTTCCCTCCGCCGCAGAAGAGCCAGGCCTAGAGGTGGGGGCGTATCCAACTCCGCCCCCCTCTATCCCCCACTGGGGCCGGGGTGACTGCCTTGAGGGAGGCAGTCCCCCAATCCAAAGGCCCCGGAGGTGTGCGCGTGTACCCACACGCCTCCACAATGGAGTAGGGCGAAATAGGTCGCCCTAACCACAAAACGAGATGGGGCCTGCCCTACAACATCTACAGGGCGGGCCGTCGCCGTCGGAGCTGGGGTAGAATGCACTTGCGAATCCCCTGGCTCCGGCATAGGCGCTCGTAGGTACACCGTGTGGTTTTTTAGTGGGTACAAGTCCCACACACCACCTCGCCATCCCTCCGGCGGGGTGACGGTCTTTTGAAGATTTTTCCACACGTTAAAAAAAAAAAAAAAAAGGTTACTTAGGTTGTGGCGCCGGCGGGCGTGGCTCGTCCCCCGCCGGTGCGGGACCGCGGGACCCGGCGGAGCCGCGTGGGCACCGCCGGCGCGTCCCGCGGGACCGTTTTGGAGGACCGCGCGCCGCACCCGGTGTCGCTTCGATGCGTCGCTCGGTGTCGCGCCGCGCGGTACAATTGTGTGGACTGGCTTGCGGCGGGTGTGGCCTGGCCCCCGCCGCCGCCGACGGGACCGCGGAGACCCAGCGGAGCCGGGTGGGCGCCGCGGGTGTGTCCCGCGGGACTGGTGTGGAGGGCCGCGCGGCGCACGCGGCGCCGCGCGGTTCTATCCTGGCGGAGCCGCGTGGGCTCCGCATGTGTGTGGCGACACGGGACTGTGTGTGTGTGGAGTGCCGAACCCGGACTTGACTGTGTGGCGCTGGAGGAGGCGAGCACTTAGTGCCCTCCTTTCGGCGATGGGGACTTGCTCCCCCTAGTGGCCCGCTCCTGCCTGGCGTCCGCAAGGACGATCGGCGGAGCGGTGTAGTGGCTCTTCGGAGCGCCGGGCTTCTAAGTCCGATGAGAGTAGCTGCCCCCCCATTGCGGGGGCCGGGCGCGGTGATGGTGAATCCACCGCGTTCGTAGTAGAGTCGTACTACCCCGGGGAACGCCTTGCGACCCGGGGTATGTATGTTTGTGGGGTGCTTTGCACCCCGCGTGAGTGATGCCGTGGACCGTCTCCTGAGACGGTCAGCGGCCCAGACCATTGACGGCTGAATTGGTCGCTGTTGGTGGTCTGTGTGTGAGAGTCCCCGACCCGTGTCGGGGCACCGGGCGGGGCGGTGTTGCTATTCCGCCGCCTTCGTGCGCCCGGCGTGGAGGGGGGCGGACGGTGCGTGCACCCGAAGTCCCAACCTAGACACTCGGGGCGGCGGATGTAGGGGCATCCAAAGCTCCAAGGAGGCGAGTGGTCAGAGGAGGGCGGGCGCGGAGTGGTCCCCGCGCCCGCATCCGAGCGGCTCCTTCAGTGGAGACCCGCGGCCGGCATGCGGACGAATGCTTCGGCGGACCCGCATGACGGCGCTTTCACGCGGTTTTAAAGGAGGAACACCGGGGGGGTTTTGGTGGGTCGGATTCGTCCAGTCCCACAGTATTCGTCCGCTCCCCTTCATAAAGGCGGACGTTTCGGTACTGAAACCTTTCCCCTCGAAAAAAAAAAAAAAAAAAAAAAAAAAAAAAAAAAAAAAAAGGGTAGGTTTGGTTGGGGGTTGTGGGGGGGCAACCTCCTAGTATGGGCCTGCCATTGGGAGGCTTCCCCATCCTCTGGATACGTCCGCGGGGAACGCTGGCCGAGCAATGGTTTGGTTCTGGTACGCCCCGGGCGGGATAATAGTCGTTCCTTCGGGATACTGCTACTATGTCGGCCAGTAGCCCGGCGAGTAGGGGGTGGACGCTGTTTAACGGCGCCCGTCCAATTATGGTGGCGTGCCACCTAGGCCGATTTCGGCGAGAGGGCGACGCGAGCGGCTAGGACAATGGGTGCTGACCCCATCCGGGACCCGTCCAGGCCGTGAGCGAAGCATTCGGGTCGGGTCCGGTGGTGCTTTGCGCATAGCCGGACTGACTCACACCGCAAACTTGCACTGGGTGTTGATGACAGGAGGTCGTCCACCTAGTGTGAGAGCGGGGGCCCTGGGTTCGCCCGGGGCTGCGAGGAGACAACCTCTATAAAAAACCGCTCGCGGTCGGCGTCAGAGTTAATGAGGAGGACGGAGTTGCGGGCAGGAGTGCCCGTAGACAACGGAGTTATCTCTGGCCAAGACTGCGAGTGTACCTTCATACCGTAAACTTGCACTGGGTGTGATGACAGGAGGTCGTCCGCCCAGTGTGGGAGCGGGGGCCCTGGGTTCGCTCGGGGCTGCGAGGAGACAACCTCTATAAAAAACCTCTCGCGGTCGGAGTCAGAGTCATGAGGAGGACGGAGTTGCGGGCAGGAGTGCCCGTAGACGACGGAGTTGTCTCTGGCGAAGACTGCGAGTGTATCTTCATACCGTAAACTTGCACTGGGTGTGATGACAGTGGTCGTCCGCCCAGTGTGAGAACGGGGGCCCTGGGTTCGCTCGGGGCTGCGAGGAGACAACCTCTATAAAAAACCTCTGGCGGTCGGCGCGGCTGTCGACGAGGAGGACGTCGTCCGGGCGAGGAGCGCCCGCAGACGACGGAGTCGACGCGGCGTGAGAAGACAGCGGGAGGATCGTTGCTAGGCGTCTTCGGACGCTGGGCAACACTCGGGGAGGCAACACTACCGGCGCCTACGGTTTAACCGTGTGGCGCGGTAGTGCTTATGGAGGATACGGTCCCGGAGGCGCATCGCGAATCTGGGTAAGTATTCACGAGTAGGCAGCTCCCGATTTTAACATGTTAAGATCGGGAGTCCTATCTGCGGAGGACATCCCCGGGCTGCGCCTTGGTGCGGCTTGGTGGGCAGACTGCTGACGGCGCAGGGAGTACGTCGCCGAAGGTAAGTATGCGTGTGTCGCCCCGACCCGTCGGGGCACCGGGCGGAGCGGTGCCTTCAGGACCGCTTCCGTCCGGCGGGAAGGCTATACGCGGTCGCGGCTGCGGTGCGCTTCTAGCGCAACGCAGCGGCGATCGCGGCCTTTGCGTGGGGGGCGGAAGGTGTATTTTCACCCGAATCCCCAACTTGGACACTCGGAGCGGAGGATGTAGGGGCATCCGAAGTTCCCAGGAGGCGAGTGATCCGTGGAGTGTGGGCGTGGAGTGGTCCCCGCGCCCAACTTCGGCGGCTCCTTCACTGGAGACCCGCGGCCGGAGTGCGGTTGAATGCAAATGCGAACCCGCACGAAGGCGTCTTTCGTGGTTTTTGGAGGAACACCGAGGGGTTTTGGTGGGTCGGATTCGTCCAGTCCCACAGTATTCGTCCGCTCCCCTTCATAAAGGCGGACGTTTCGGTATTGAAACCTTTCCCCTCGTTAAAAAAAAAAAAAGGTTAGTTAGGTTGGGGCGTGGGTCGGGCAACCTCCTAGTATGGGCCTGCCATTGGGAGGCTTCCCCATCCTCGTGGATACGTCCGCGGGGAACGGTGGCCGAGCAATGGTTTGGTTCTGGTACGCCCCGGGCGGGATAGTAGTCGTTCCTTCGGGATACGGCTACTATGTCGGCCAGTAGCCCGGCAGGTTGGGCGGGTTGCGGATTCCTATGCCTCGACAAAAGTCGAGGATCCCGGAGTCAGGAACCCGCCCAACTTCTTGTTTTAGTCTTCGTTTTGTTTGTTTCTTCTTTTGTTTTGGTTTGTTTTTTCTCCCCTTTTGTTTTTGTTTTAATTTATTTTGGTTTTAGTTTGTCTTAGGTTTTTCTCTGTCTTTGTCTGTCTTTTGTCTTTTCTGTCCTTTTTGGTTTCTTTCTTTCTTTTTCCGTTTCGCTGTAGGTAGGAGTCCGGGACCACACCCGTAAAAAGGTACTATATGGAAAATGGCTGAACGCAAAAATAAAGTACCCCAGGGAGGTACCGGTCGCTCTGCGGCCGGAGAATCCTCCCCCACCGCACCGGATTTGCCGGGGGTGGGCTGTCCCGCGTCTTCTGGGGGGACACGCTCAGTCGTAGGAGGGAGTGGGAGGAAGAAGTGATGAGGTGTGTCGAGGCCGTACGGGGGATTGAGGAGCTGGAGATCCACGTGGCCGGCATGGACTCCGAGTGCACGGAGTCCGGATTGTCGGTTGCGTCGGAGGACCTCAACTCCCTGTCGGTAACGACGGAGGACTGCCTGAGGGTGAGCACGTCGCCCAAAAGGCTCAGGCGTAAGAGGCGTGTCGTCGAGAAGTCGCAAGATCTTGACTCCGACGACGACGTCGAGGTGGTGCAGGTGGAGAAGCGGGCTGCGACCCCGAAGATAGGTGGGAAGGGTAAGCGCAGGCCAGCCTCACGCATGGAGACAGAGGGTTCGGCCTCGGCCGGATCCTCCAGGTCCGTCTCCGCGTCGAGGACTGCCGTCCACCGGTCATCCATGGACGAGTCGTTGCGCGCCGATGAACTGGCCGCTAAAATAGAGGACAGTGCCCTTCTGGTACTTGCCGCCATAAAAAAGTCCGGCAACCTGAAGGGCACTATTGTGAAGGACGTAAAGGACGCCGTCTCTGCCATCCGTTCGGCGTCCGATGTCCTCAGAGAGCGGTCGACTAGCGCGGAGGTAATGGCCCTCACGAGACAGGTCGCCATGCTGCGCGTTGAGCTGGACGAGGCCCAGCAGCTGTCCAATGCGGCGGTCCAGGAGGGCCTGAAGGAGAGGCGCGAGTTGGTCGCCCTCCGGGTGAAGGCCGGTTCCTTCGCCTCATTAGCCGAACAGCTGGAGCTAATGAAGGCGGAGAGGGAGGAATGGCAGCGGCAGGCGCGGGAGAGCGCTAGACAACTTGAGGACCTCAAGAAGTCGAGCGCTCTGGACCGCGCCGCCCTGCATAAGACCATGCGCCAGCTGGAAGAGGCGAAGACCGCCGCTGAGCTTCCGCCGGTGGTGGTCTCGGGGACGACGGCAGAAGCGCCGAAAGGCGCCACGCCCCGAACCCTGCCAGAGGACGCCGAAGACCGGATCATCCGGCGAGTAGGCGAATTGATGAACACCCGCTTCGCCGAGATGGAGGAGCGGATCTCGGCGAAGCGAACGCGGCCTCAAAAGGCCGCCAAGAGTACGCCTGCTGCCGGATCATCCGGTGTAGCGGCTGATAGGGTTCGGGAGCCCAGCGGAGTACGTGCCTCTCAACCGTCGACCTCCGGAGCGAATAAGGAGGGCTGGGCGACGGTTGTGAGGCGCAAAACGCAAAGGCGCTGGCGCAAGCCGAGCAGGTCCCACCAGCGCGCGACCAACGAAGGCGCCAAGCGGCGGCCACAGGGAGGAACCGCAGCGGAAGTCTTCCGCGCGGAAGGTGAAAGCGCGCCCCCCTCGGTCATCGGCAGTCGTCCTGACCATGAGGCCGGTAGCCGAGGAGAGGGGCGTCACCTACGGGTCGGTGCTCACCGAGGCGAAGGCCAAGATATCCTTGGCCCAGCTCGGTATCACCGACCTGAGGTTCCGCGTGGGAAGAACCGGAGCCCGTATTTTAGAAATACCCGGCGCCAACACAGGCGAGGCGGCAGACGCGTTAGCCGCCAGGATCGAGGAGGTCCTGCCCGAGGACGTCGTCCGGGTCTCCAGGCCAGTTAAGTCGGCCGAACTGAGAATCGGAGACCTGGACGACTCGACACTGGTGGCTGACGTGGTCGTCGCTGTGATGCGCGAGGGGGGTTGCCTGGAGTCCGCGGTAAAAACCGGGGAAATCCGGCGCAACTCCCAGGGTACGGGCTCCGTGTGGGTGCGGTGCCCAGTGGCCGCCGCTAAGAAGTTGGCCGAGGCCGGCCGGCTGAGGATAGGGTGGGTGATGGCGCGGGTACAGTCGCTGGACCCGCGACCTCAGCGGTGTTATCGGTGCCTTCTTACAGGCCATGTGGGCGTCCGATGCACCGCCGGGGAAGACTGCAGCGGAATCTGTTTCCGCTGCAGCGAGCCCGGCCATAAGGCCGCACGGTGCGCCGCGCCATCACCGAACTGTCGGTACTGTGCCGCGGCGGGTCGGAAATCCGACCATAGAGTGGGCGCCACTAACTTGTGTCGCCTGCCGAAGGCCCGAGCCGCGGCACGGGCCACAGGTGGGGGGGGGAGTCGATGGACACTTGAGTAAAATCAGGTGTGCATCGACTCCAAAATTGACCCTAGGGTGGAGGATTGTTAGGGCAATCCGAAGCTCGCCGGGGAGGTTTTAGGGTCTGGCGGTGGCGTGCAGACACTATTCCCTGCACGCCTAGATGGAGGTCCCTTCGATGGGTACCATGCCGGGGTCTTGGGCGAATGCTTTGCGTTCCCATGGCCCGGGCGATATGATTCAAGGAGGAATAGTCGTCAGGTTTTTAGCAGGTAGGAGTCCGGCAGTATCCATTCCTCCCTAAGGGAATGGTTCTCCATGATGGATTTTCCTGACGTAAAAAAAAAAAAAAAAAAGGTTAAGGTTACTTAGGTTGGAGTCGCGTTCGAGACGTGGTGGCGAGCGGACGTGTTTTCGTTGCTCCGTGTGCCGCTGGGACCGCGCGCACCGCCGACCCCGGACCGCGTCGCCCGCCTGACTAGCGGCGCCGTAGTGACGTCACGTCTGCGATAACGCCGTGTAAACAAGTTCTAACTTGTTTCACGGTGCGAGAGTATATAATATTGTGAGTGCTGGTGAAAACCATCAAGATGTGTACATCTAGTGAAAGTAAATCGCTAGACAGTGTGCGACTCCTGTCTGGCGATGAGCGGCCGAACTGTGCCGCAAGGACGGACTTACAGGTCAGTGAGACTCTTTTTGTCTATGCTAGACGATGTA